GTGAGCTGAAACGAGTTAGGTATATCCCTTAAACGATATATATATCATATATATATATATATATATATATATTTGTTTTTTTTTGTTTTCTTTTTCTTTTTTTTTTTCCAACGGCGTAGGTGTGGTACTCAGCTCTCGTTATGTTTTTTGTTTTCTTTTTTCTTCTTTTTTTTTTCGGTCAACCAACCCTCCTTTCCACCCCACTCCCCTCGACCTCGGTCTCGGTATTCGCCTCTCCCTCTCCCCCCCCCCCCCGCCCCCGCACGTATCTCCATCCCAACCCCCATCCTCACCCGAGCTTTAGTTGGTTAAAATACGATATGCATTTCATTAGCAATTTATATAATGTGAATGCGCGCCGTAAACACGTGGAACCAACTGGATTTATGTGTATCGAGGTAGACAAATTTCTGGTTAACTGAACGCAATCCTCTATCAGTTAGAATAATTCCGTATCCTATCAAGTTGTTAACGTAATATTTATCACGCGATAAACAAGAGCTCCCGTTAGAGTTGTTAATCATTTCTTTTTTTTCTTTTATCTTCTTCTCTTTTCTTTTTTTTTTTTTTTTTTTTTTTTGTTTGTTTGTTTGTTTTCTTTCCCCTCCCCCGTACGAGCTTTTCCTCCTCATTGTGAAAAGGAATTCGCAGAAATATAAATAATTTCTCGATGATAACGACGATGATAACGATGATGATGATGATGATGATGATGATGATGATGATGATGACGATGAAGGTGACGACGACGACGACGATGTTAAGAAATTGATTTGTGTAAGAGTCGAATTAAAAAAGAAAAAAAAGAAAAAAAAAGAAGAGACAAAAGAAGAGAACGGAGGTAAGGAAAGGAAGAGAAAAATTGGAAGAAAAAAGAATAACGTAATAGTGTAAATATGAAATTATGATAGATTTTGTTCGAACGACGAAAAAGAGAAATTATTTTGAAGAATTTTAATATGAATCATGAGAGCGCGTGCCAACGGTTGATACCATGGCTACCGCAACGCAGTTTTGGAATCAATTGTTCCGGCCTATCGTGGCTTTTCGGATTAAAGTGAAACTTGGGAGTAGGTACCTACTAGCTAAGCCCACCCCCAAAACTCTACTACGGGGGGTCTTGAATTTTGGTGGGTTTCGCCACGACGACAACCGCAAAACTTTACGGGGATAGTAACAACTCCGTTTCCAAGTGAACTCGCGAGAATCAAGACTCTCGATCCCTGTTCTTCCTTCTCATCCTCTCTTTCTCTCTCTCTCTCTCTCTCTCTTTCTCATTCTCTCTTATCATTTAGTAACTTTGAAAATCGAATCTTCACTCGGTCGAATAAAGTCAAGCTCTTTCAGAGCTTACGTTTCACTAGTTTCTTTTCCCGATAAAACATTGAATAAATACGTGCTTCTTCTTTTAACTTTAACGAATAAACTTGATCATAAGGAATTAACGTTCAGAAAGAAGAGAGATAGAACTGTATTGACAATTAAATGTTTAATAACTATGATCTCATTGGAGATGGACTGTCCAAATGGGACAATTTTGAAACTTGGAAGAATATGAATGAGAATGTAAGACGAATATATTGTAATTATTTGAAACTTTTACGTTTGAAATAATACAAATTTGAATTGTACAGAAACGATATATATAAATATATATATATATATATATATATATATATATATATATATATATGTGTGTGTGTATATATGCAACTGCACAAATCTCAAATTTTTAATAATTAATTCAAATGTGATTAACGTTGTAACGATTATTATTTAACGGGATAATAATACCGATTGAGAATTTCGTCATAGATGATAGAGTAGGTCGATTTCCTTTTTCCTTTTTTTTTTCTCTTTTTTTTTTCTTTTTTTTTTTCTTTTTCCTTTTACCTGATACACATCTCCACCTTTCTCCTCTCGGGTCTTCAGAGCACGGAGAAGAAAAACGGAGTTAATAGAAATTCATGAAAATTTCATTCGCAAGTTGGAGGCGTCAGTCAAGACGCGCGTTGAGCCGCATATCAAACAGTCCCTCTGTTTTTCTTCTCGCTTTTTCTTCACATCTCTTCGTTTTACTCTTTCTCTCCCTTTTGCACACATACACATAAGAGAAAGAGAGAGAGAGAGAGAGAGAGAGTGAGGGAAAAGAAAGAGAGAATACGATGGAATCTCTGCATTATTTCTAACGCTCTGCTAGCTTGTAAGAACTCTAACGAGACAGTCACCGCAACTACTGAATTTAAGATTCGTTTTTGTCTCCCATCCTCCCTTTCTCTCTCTCTCTCTCTCTCTCTCTTTCTCATATCGAGACGACGAGGTATTTTATTATCTAAACGTTCTGTTGATTCTTTTTCATAAAATATTTTTTTTTGTTCACACTTAACGAGATTTATCGGATAAAACGGTGGACATGACGAAGAGACAAGAAGAAATTATTCGTTAACGTTAGAACGTTAGAATCGATTCCTACGGCTTTGTACGAATTACATTATTCATCGATAAGATCAGCCATTCGCTTTTCCAATGACGTGAAACCCCCGTATCATTAATTCGTATTAATTATATCGTATTAATTCACATTCCTCATTGATTCATTTATTTTCACGACTTATCTATATACATAACTCGTCGAATTTACGAAATTCTATCGACTCCAATATGTTTACATTTGTATTCCCAATGAAACATAATTTTTTCTCATGTCTACGAAATAATTATATAATAATATCTATCAGATATAATATCTGCGTTATATAATGATCAATCAAACTATGTATTTAACGAACATTCGTTAAATATTACTTATTCGAGAATATTACTTATTAAAGAGGGAAAATATATAAAAAAAAAAAAAAAAAAAAAAAAAAAAGAAAAAGGAAAAAAGAAACGTCCTTTTTAATCGGATTTCAGAATCAATCGAAATAAATTCTAATAATATGCGAATTCCATGCAACATGATATGTTTACAGAAATTTTCAATTCTCGAATAGAATCTATCTACATATACGCTCATGCACACGCCCACACAGAGAGAAATTTTGATCTTAAATGTAATAAATAATTTCACGAAGAGAAAATCCAATAAAATTTTAAAACTGAAAGATATATATTACAAGTATACTACTTGAAAGATTAAAGCAACAGAGATAGAGAGAGAGAGAGAGAGAGAAAGTAACAAGACATTATAAAATTCTTAAGTAAGAAGAAAGAAAGGAGAGAACGTATATTTAATCGGGCCTCGATCGAGCTAAATAAATTCTAATTACTTTTGACAAGGGAAGAAGAAGAAGATGATGATGATGATGCTGATGATGATGATGATGATGATGATGATGATGACAGTATCTATTTTCTTCAATTTGGATTTCAAGAAGAAGTGGAAATGTCTCCGAAAGCTCGTGCTCGAAAGAAAGAGAGAGAGAGAGAGAGAGAAAATAAAAAAGAAGAGAAAGACGAAGACGACGAGAACGAAGAAGACGAAAATGAGAAAGAAAAAGAAGCAACAGAAGAAGAAGAAGAAGAAGAAGAAGAAGAAGAAGAAGAAGGGATCGGTCGGATGGCTGGGTACCTAATTGAAAGAGGTTTTCTGTGAGTGAGGAGGAGGGTAGACATCAGCAGAGCGAACCTTCAGCGTTTCCAAGGAAACCCGGTGCGGCGGGTACTCGTGTGGAGAGGGCCTCAGGCACACCAATCCGGCTGCGAGAGAAAGGCGCCGGCGCTTCAGCGACCGGGCTGTGCTATCGAGCGTCGCTATCAAAGATTTCTTGACTTGCCATGGCGGACTACGACGACGACGACGACAACGACGACGACGACGACGACGACGACGACGACGAGGACGAGGACGAGAACCAGAACGAGGACGAGGACCATGACAGTGACGATAACGACGATGATTAACTTTGACGACATATTTTGTTTGAATATTTTCTTCCAATCTGTAGTTTCTCCAAAATAACAATCACCCAACCCTCTCACCATCACCTCCGAACCAATTTGCAGAGTCATCAAAAAAAAAAAAAAATCGTCAAATTTTCCCGATACAATACGATTGTGTTTACTTTCATTTCTTATTTTTTCTTTCTCTTCATATTCATTGATTTTTCACGTTATACGTATCCTTAAACTGAGCTAAGAAAGAAACAAAATGGGAAGAGGAAAGGAAATGAAAAAAAAAACATATATATATATATATATATATACAAGCATTAAGTGGATAAGAAATTGTTCGATATATCATTCTGATAGTATAAAAACGATTGACGTATTATATTTCCTTCGTAATATTATTTTCATCTTTCGAGAATATAAATTTGTTCTCGATAAATGAACAAAAACGAGTGTAGAATGAATGAAACGAATCGTATTATATTTGTCCCATAGAATGAACGTGAGCATGATTACTTTATTTAAAACGTTGTACAACCAATAAGCTCCCGGTGATCAATGCGACGTTCTGTTCCGAGGAAAAGAGGAAAATCGCAGCTTCATTAATCGACGTTAATTACCAACTATTATATGCGGGACAAGCAGCCAACGTTATCGTTTCGCGAAAACGTTGCTTTACACGAAACGATAATCATTCCGAAGTGGCATTGTTACACAGCTGTTTTCGTTAATGCCAAGTGCTTAATTATATACTTTAATGTGATTATCGATAACGTATAACTGACAGAGAGAGAGAGAGAGAGAAATTTGTCTCTTTCTCTCTCTCTCTCTCTCTCTCTCTCTGTACAATTAAACTTTTCGTGGTTCGAATTTTCGTAGGTACATCGCGCGCAGATTCGTGAATGAGAGCCGATACGCCGAAAATTCGATAATACGCGAGAATATGCCCCCCACGGCTACTTCTATGGCCCGAATCGAGCCGAGTGAGTGAGAATAAAATAATCAAAAGTCGTCGACTTTATCGTTGAAAAATGCACGAACCTTTGCCGGCGCGTCCGCTACGCGTTTAATTAATACTAATGGATATAATGGATTCTACATTAGATCGA